CCTTGTTCTTTCCGAACTAGCATTAGCAGACTTACTGGCCTGTGAATCCTGCACGCAGCCTGAAAAATCTCTGGATATCGAAATCCACCATCTGCCGCCGGCACTGTGTATCCCACACTGGGTTTCGTTTATGCCAATCTCATATTCTCTCTTGTAGTCTCTCAATGCCCACAGCGGGTGGGCCACACATAAAGTGGTAAATTTTTCACATCCACATCGCCCCCTTCTTCAACGGTCATGCGTAACAAACGCAACCCGCGGAGGAGCGTTCGGACACCCATTGGACCTCCGCCGCATAGTAGGCTATAGTCGTCGCCTCCGGCGATATCACTTTAATCTAGATTATACATCCAAGGGTTAAACGTCTGCGCAAACTGCCACACACAAACGTGCTAGTTTATTGCGTCAGCGACGTAGTTAGAGTGGTCGTCGAAAATCTAAAAATGGTCTGTGCATACATTCTGAGGCCGCCGGAGCATCACTAGGTTCCGACATGCAAATGTTTATAGTTAAAAAGCATAAAACCATTCTGTGAAAGCAATTGTCATTGGGACCACGTAAAAATCGCATTTGCTTCAAGCTAAACCTCCTCCAAGACGGATCAGAAGCTACCTCATTTAGCTCAAAGGCCAGAATCAGCCTTATGTACTGAGAGCACTCCCCATCGCAGACGAAGAGTTCGAGTTGCCTCGTCTGACGCACGATGTAGCAGGTCAAACTCCTATTTATTTAGAATTCACCCCGACATACACAACTTGTTTTTATATGTACTATATTTACATACATACATAAGTATGCACAATACGATTAGCGGACTCATTGCTTTATGTAGGCTTTATTTGAGTTTTATTTTATGAAGTCTTTAAGTACCAGAAAAAACTTGTTTCTGGATCCAGTTGATGAGCATTGTAATCTATTGAAAAAAGATCACTATTTTTCAGTGGAGTTGAGATTCGAAAATAATTCTAGTTAATAATATTACTTACTATATTACGCGAAAGAAAAACAATTTAGATCACTTTCTTTTTACAAGCTTTTATTTAACCTGCAATCAATTTTTGACCAACTTTCTGATGACCGGTATTTATGGGATGATTTCGTTCATATTTGGAAAGCTTTCTTTAAAAATATATTTTTTTTTTTACAATTAACTTATTTAAACACCTACATAGCTACACAGTTTCCGATTGCAATTTTGAAATTAACGACGAAAAATTAGCCGGTATACAAATTCTAAAATGTTTAGCTTCAACGGTTGACTTTTTGTACTGAAAGGGTTAAGTTAGTTTTTTTAATGGAGAATCCAAAACGAAAACTGCTTGCAGCTGAGGAAATAAACAAGCGTAAGTTTATTCTACGAAACAAATGAGTACATACATACATACAAATGTGTATAGTTTTAATTTCTCGGTCCATTTAGCCAACATCAAAATTAGCTTCCCACTCTCTTTGCTCTAATTCCTATATTTGGAGCATTCTATCTTGTATACAATTTTTCGTTGGTGTACTATACAAAGAATTTATTTTGTGGTTGTTATTTTAAATACAGAACTTAACTACTTTCTACCGAAAATTCTAAGTCTACCTTATAATTAACTATGAAAGCACATACATAAATACATATGTACAGTTCAAAATTGAAGCACAAAAGAATAAGTCAAAAAAGCAAGGGTTATTATTAATATCTGAGTTAATTGTTTTGGCACAAGAAGCTCAAATGAAAAAAGATTAAAAAAATGTTAAAAGTAGAATTATGGTTACACAGCAGAAATGATAGCGAAAGAAAAGTAGTGAAGCGCAGCATAAATGCATGGCATTTAAAGGTAGCTGTACATGCGCAACTGCACGCAAGCATACATTTTTCCTCAGCATATTTACTCAAACACGCACACGCATACATATATCCATAAAGTACTGCCGCATGCGCAGTGGGTGCCCAGCGCTGTTTGTTTTGGTTTTCTTTTTTTCCAGTTTTTTTTTTGGATTGCTGCAACGCAGAAAAACGCTTTCACTGCACACCCAATTGCAACAACTATGGGTTAGTGGTAAATTTCAATGAAAAAAAAACTTCAACGAGAAAAAAGCACAAACAACAAAAAGTTGCGGAAGCCGTTGATGGATTGTTGCACTAAATGGCACCATGAGTGGTGGCATTACAACAAAGTTACAACAAAAGAAAAAATTAATATGTAGTAAATAAATAAACACATGTGCATTTGTGTCTGTCTGGCTGTCTCTCCGTACTTATAAGTACTTATGAATATGCAGCACACGGTTGTAGTTTCGGTGGCCCAGCAGCGCGACATTTGATGGTTGCGCTTTTCTTTGTTGCTGTGCGCTGCTTTGCCTTCGTGACTCTTTTGACGCTTTGTTTGTATGTCACTGTGCACTCGCTTACATGCGTTATGTTCATCTGACTTTTGAGTCTGTGCCTTTCCAATGCTTCACAGTCAACGTAGGCCTAAATTTTTTTGGTGCACAGGTTTCTATATATACATACATCTATAGTATATGTACATACATACATATACGTAAGTATTACCTACTATGTAAGCGCACTTAATCCTCTTGCATTTGCTTTGGCCACAAGTCAGCCGATGTCAACAAATGTCAACAGTTTGTCAAATATTTTACCTACTTTTTGTTCATCGCTTGTTGTTATTGTTATTTTACCATTGTTTTATTTTTGTATACGCTCCGCTCCCAGCCTTGACCTAGCGTACTACTTTTGGTGCTACTCGAAATTGAAAAAAAGCAATTGGTTGGAAAATTTAAAAAAAAAATGTGAAAAGAAGGTGCAGTACGAAAGCTGGCAGTGTCACGTGCAAGTCACCACCTACAGATGAAAACATATTTACATGCATTTACACACACTTCCATATGTATAACTCTATGTATACGTATACGTAGTTTGTATAATATGTTTTTGCTACTTGCATTTGAAATAAATTTGAGTGGCCCTTTAAGCTCGCTACGGCTACCGAAATGTAGCGGCGGGTGCCTTTCTACTTAATTTTCTATTGGCGTGGGAAAAGCGAGCTTTCAGGTACAACGTGGATATTAAAGTGATACTCGTATAAATAAAATTGAATGTGCGTTTTTCTGAAACCGTACCGAGTACTTAGGTATCCTTTTATAATGAAAACAAAGAAAAACGTATGCGCTTTCGGCTTATTATTTTTTATGTACACAAAAAAGTAAAATTAAAATTTAAATGTACTTTGGCACCAGCAATAACCCGGAAATTCAAAAGAAATTCCAAATAAGTCCCAAAAAAATTGGGAACGATCGTAAAAAAATTTCGAGAATACCCGAAAGATGCCCCGGAACGTGTGAAAAAAGCAAAACACAAATAATACCAATAAAAATGCTGAAAAAATCTTAAAAGTTCTCGAAGAAATCCTGACAAAAATTTCTAAAAGCAAAAAACGAAAAAATCCGGAACTATCTCGAAAAATCTCGATAATACCTGGAAAAATTCCCAAAAAACCTGTCACATAAAAAAGACGACAAGGACGATAGATCACGAAAAGACAGATACGAAAAATCCTGAAAAGTTCCGGAAAAAAATCCGAAAGATTTCGAAAAATTTGACAAGAAAGATATCAAAAAATCCAAAAAAATCCGAAAAATAAAAGACAAAAAATACTAAAAAAAGCTCAAAAAATATCAAAGTAGTTCCCAAGAAATTCTCGGATAAAACTGAGAACTCAAACAAGAAGAAAGTTTCGAAATAATTCTGAAAAAACCTTGAATAGTCGGAATTTTCGGCTGTTATTTTTTAGGCACTCAAAAAGTAAAATTAATATTTAAGTGTACTTTTGAACATATGTACAATATGAAGAAAAATCGCGAAAGTTCCAAGCAAAAACTAAACACAAAACATCACGACAAAATATAGAAAATGCTCAAAATTCCCGAAATATCTCGGAAAGGTCCCGAAAAAGTTTCGAAAGAATTCGAAAAATTACACAAGAAATTCTATGTTATTGTGGCTTATTAACATTTTATTTTTAATATTCTTTTATTGAGCTTTGTACCACGATTGTTCATTAGGAAAAATTGAGTTAATTTTTTTAGTCATAAGGAAATCATATTCTATAATAGCACTTTTTCTAGTACGTCATCTTAATTTCAAAATCTATAAATACGAGGGGAGTTTGATAAATCATGAGACCTTGAATTTCATGCATACTAGTTTTAAGTGCAACCCTGCTCTTCTCCACTACCATCTGAATATATTTGATGACCAGAATTTAAGCATGCTTTATCCAATCCTCAAGAAAGGCGTCGCGCCAACAGCCGTGGGATCAGCCTTTTAAGCATAAGTTGCAAGGTCTTACCGAGCGTATTGTGCGAAAGACTGAACCCCACCGTAAACGAACTGATTGGGCTTTATCAGTGTGGCTTCAGACCAGGAAAATTCATAACTCAGCATCTGTTTTTCTCTTTCTGCCTATAGCAAAATAATGTACGACTTTATATCTGATTATGGTATCCCGAGAAACTAATACGGCTGTGTAAAATGACATTGAGCAATACCATCAGCACCGTCATAATTGGGAATGACCTTTCCCAGGTGCTCGACCACATACGATGATTTTCTATGTCCCGACGTATTTTATCTGATACTGAAGAAGTAAAGTTTTTTTCACGCCACCTTGTAATTCATGGCGCAAAAACATGGCATGGCGCTGGTATTGGAGGAGAAAGAAACAGGCCTCTTCAACATTGGAAAGCTCAGGTGGAAAAGTAGTTTACTAAGTGGTTTACTAACTTAGCTAAAATCGCTTAAGCCTTTATAAGGTTAATAAAGAAGAAGAGAATCCATCCATTTTTAAGCATCTCATTCTTCGCAAAAAATTCTTGGCGTAATTTTTTTGATCAAAAGTAATAAGAATTTTTTTATTTAATTTTTCTTGTCCGTCGGAGCTCGGCACCATCACCATTACCATAGTTATCATTGCCAATGCTATTATCCTTTATCACTGACATTACCATTAGATACCATTACTATTGCCATTACCATTCTCATTACCATAACCATTACAATTATAAATACCATTTATCCTATTGTCACTACCATCACTCTTACCATTACCGTTTCCATTGTCTCTGCCGTTACCATTAGCATTGCAATTACCATTACGATTTTCTTTACTGATGCCATTACCATTACCATTACAATTACCATAACCTTTACCTTTACCATTACAATTAACATTACCATCACCATTACCAAATTGAGAGCAATTACAGTCATTACCAATAAAATTATTATTGACATTGCCATTACTTTTACCATTACTATTATCATTATCTCTACTATTAGGATTACTTTTAGATTCCAGTACTATTGCTATTACCATTCCCATTAACATAACCATTAATATTGGCATTAGCATTACTATTTTCATTCCATCACCCTTGCCATTACCGTTTCCACTGCCACTGCTGTTACCATTACCATTACAATTACCATTACGATTGTTGTTACCATTCCCATTACTCTTACCATTATCATTATCTTTACCATTACCGTTTTCATTACCATTACCGTTACCATTAAAATTAAAACTACCGTGAGTGTTAACAAATTTAAAGCCATTTTAAAGAAATACGGGATTTATTACAGTTTTTGTATTTAAAATTACGTAAAGATATTGGCAGGTTGTTGTATTGGTTTTCTAGACAAAGTAGACAATCTTATTTCACATTTATGTTGCCAGACAATATGGTATAATTTTGTAACATAAAACAAAGCTCCAATTTAAGGTCTAATCTTTGAAAGATTCTAATATAAATCTTCACTAATGTCGCCGCTGGTTACTAGTTCAAACCAAAATACAAACCGATTTATTTGCTACCTAGCACTTGATTATAAAAAAAACATATATATATGTATTTACAAAACTTTTGTTGTTAAAGCTTGATTAAAAAATGAGTTGCTACTCATCTAATTTAAATAACATTTTTTTCATAAGCTACATATGTACGAGCAATTAAGTTCGCTGCTTAAGTCTTTTGAATATCCATATGAGTCAATAAAACACATGTTTCCTTTGTCTGGGTTATAAATTTCAACACAAACTTTCAGAATACCAAAACAATAGGTATTCTTTATTTTAACAGCATAACCATACACCCACTTTCAATTTCTCCGCCAAAATGTGCAGTGAATGATAAAATAATTTCACAGCGCCGAAAGTGAAACCACCAATAAATATTAACTAAATGCGCAGAGCATGAATGTCACTAATTTACGATTAGAGTGCAGTAGGGGAGAAGGTGGAGAAGGCAAAAACAAAAACAAGTTAAAAGCAAACAGATTTTCTAAAATGAGATGTTGAGCTCAGCACCAAATAAATTGCAATACTAATCGTTTTTCTACAAGTACTTGTTAGAGTATATATTACAACAAAAAGTGTACAATAACAGCAATCGTAAGACATGTCAATGAGGCTATGACAAATTGATTGCGCTTTGCTGGTACTTCAACTCAATGGGAATTGTAGAAAATAACATTAAAAGTGAAAATAGCCGGTGAGTGTACAAATAAATAAATAAATTAGAGGTGAAAAGGAGACAAGTGAAAATACAAATATATATATTTTTTTTAGGGGAGGGAAAAAGTTGTCAAAGTAAGTTAAAATAAGAAAGCAAATGAAGACATAAAACTAGAAACCAAATCAAAACAAACAAATAAGCTAATCGAAAATGCGCATCCATCCGGCAAAACCCTTAATTAACTATTCCGCTCAGCAAATGTAAGCTTGATGACTGTTTTGCTAAGCGTTGCTGAGTTGAAGTGCATGCTTAGTCGAGTGGTGGCGGTGGCGGCGGCGGCGGCGGCGGTTGCGGCGAATAAATAGCACTTTGCTTACTTGTTTGTCTGTTGTGTTCAATTTCACCAGCAGCGGCGGCAAATTCTTTTACGATTATTTTTCACAACTCAATGCTTATTTATTGCCATTGAATTTGAGGTGACATGGCGAACGAGAAGGAGAAGAAGAAGCAGGGAGAGCCGCACTACAGCAAAGAAAGGTGTAAGAGTTTGCGGCTAGTAAGCACCTGAGTCCCAACGTCTAAACACGCGCTTATTCTCACTAATTTCGCATTAAAATGCCGTTGGCGGCGGCGATTGCGTTGTGTTGCCAATGGATAAAGAAAGTCTGCAATAGCAATAACAACAATTAAATGGGAACAACAACTTTGACAGCAAGCATTAGTGCATTGGGTTTCTTTGTTGATCAGCAACAAAGTTGAGTGACTCAATGCGATTTTTGACATTGTTCGTATGCTTATATGCTTTTATGCTTACAGACTTATGTAAGTAGTTACGTACCTGCATATCTATGATTTAAAGTACTTAAGTACTTAGCAACTACATACTTAAATACTTAAGCACTTACATATTTACATACATATTTATGATTTTGAGTACTTAAGTACCCTAATACTTACTTACTTACATACTTAAGAACTTACGTATTTACATACCTTTGTAATTTGAAATACTTTAGTATTGTAAAACTTAAAAGGGACGACGGAAATTCGTTCCAAACTAAGTCATGTTATCACTCAATCAGAAAGTTCAACCAAATACTTAAGTCCTGTAGTACTTAATACTTAAGTACTTAAATATGATACAACTGAAAACTCAAATAATTGACTAATTTAATGCTTAAGTACATGAATACTTGCATACTTACGACCTCTCTCACATGCTTAAATAGTTATATACTTATAAACTCAGTTGCCATCCTATTAAACATTTCACAGATTAAATAATTAAAACTTAAACACCCAAGTAACTACATATTAAAGTATTTAACTACTTAAATACTCTAAAACTTAAGTACTTAAATACTTATGTACCGAGATATAAAAAGTCTGAAAACTTAAATATTTAAATACTTAAATACTTACCTAAAGAAACAATTAAATACTTAAGTACTTGCATACTTACCGAAATACTTATATACTTCCAAAACCTACTTACTTACATACATACAATTATCTTATCTTAAACACGTTTTTAAATTGTAGGCGTCTGCGCTTAGACGCTTAAAATGCATTGCGTGTCGGCCGCTTAGAAGAAATCAAAAATCGAACAACCAAACAAGCAGCAGTACCAACAACAATAATCAGTAAACAAAAGCGTCAATCGTTTGTTAACTAACTCATTAACATTTGCTTGCAAGAATTGCATATCGCCGTCTTTTCACTCACCTCTACACTTTCTTTATTTCACTCAAGCAATGCATCGCTCACTCTTCTCTTCCCGCTCAACTTCACTACACCCATCATCATCTTCGCAAAAATTTCTCTGCGATCTTCGTAAATGTAATGCTTTCTTCCTTTTCTTCTTTTTTTTCTTTTTCGCTGCTGTCTTCTTTCAACGAAAAAGTTGACCTCGACCGCTGTTGCTGTCGTTGCCGCTGCTTAATGTTGGCTTTGTGGGCGCTTCTTGAGTTTTGTTGCTGTTGTTGTTTTTACTATTGACATTGATACGCCTTGACCGTTGTCGGCATTACTTGGGCGTGCATTAAGTTGATTGTGTTGGAAATTGCACTTTCGCATAATACGCAGTTGTTAATATGGCTTTTCAATGCACGCTGACAGTGAGTGATTGATAGCCGTGTGAGGAATATTTTTTAATTTTCTTCTTTCTTTTCTCCGGAATTTTAAATCATTAAATAAATAAAATATTAATTAATATAATTCTCCATTTAATCCGGCTCCCTTTCAACTAAAATTTGATAACTGTGCAAGTTAGGGGTAGAGACTTTTCATAAAAAAGTTTCGTCAGTGGCTTTATGAATGTGATAGCGGCTTGCAAAGAGGATCCACTTATACCATCGAATTCCGGAAAATATATAAGTCCTACTTTTAAATTAATCACACAATTATGTCCCGTTTGTACGTGAGCAGGAAATATATTCAATTTTAAAATTACCAAAAATTTATGTCGGGATTTTTAATGATCATAAATTTATGTTCATACCTTCAATTACTATAACATAAATTGTACCTATTTTTCGAAAGAACAGGAAATTTATGCCCGGTTTTAAAGTAACCAAAATTTATGTTCAGTTTGCAAATTACCAAAAATATATGTCTAATTTTTCAATTATGTCCAGTTTTTTAACTAACAAGCATTAAATTCAGTTTCACAAAACGACAATTTATGTCCAGTTTTTAAGATTCCCATAAATTTATGTCCAGTTTTTAAATAACCAATAAACTGTTTTCAGTTTTCAAATAAAACCCATTTTTTCCGTTGAAGATCGCCAGATATGTTTGTCCAGTTTTTGAATGACCAAATATTTATGTCCACTAGCTTAAAGATTAAGAATTTAGTTACGGTATTAATATGTCTAAAAATATATGTTCAGTTTTTNGGGGGGGGGGGGGGGGGGGGGGGGTTCAGCCCCCGATCACCAATCCTGAGTAGCATGTAAGGTCAACTGGTAGTAGTTGCGGCTGCAAAGTATAAGCGAAGCCCTTCAAGGAATTACAAGAAATGGCGGGAACACTTGAAACGTATACCAAATTACTCATGGCACCTTCGGTGAGTAAATTAATGGTTTTGGCTTAAGACTCAATTGAGGATAGCGTTGGCTGGTGTCCACTCGATGTGGAGCATTATGGCAACCACGTCCCCAATGCTTATGTTTTATATAAGCATCGAGCCCTACCATGGCAATGTGTGCTTGTCCGGAATTTTAATGCTCTCAGCCCCTAGGATTGTTCTATGTCGAAATAATATACCCCTATTTTTTTATTTTAGCAAGTGCCATCGTAAAATAAGTCAAATGCTGTGATCTGTCATTCCAAGCCATATCCTTCCACATATATTAGCTATGTACAGATGAATTAAAAAAAAATTTTCGTTAAACTCTCAAGAGTGGGTTTGTTGGCTTTTTACTTTAAAATATACATAAATACATATAAAAAAAAATTAGTAACGCATCAAATTAGAGCCTTTGCTATGCACAAAAGAAATATAGTAAAGGTATGAACATAGAGGGAAGTACATCTGATAATATGCCTAATCGATTCATCAATAGGTATGCATTTGATTTCTAAATTGAAAAAAAAATGTCAAACAACCTTAGCTTTCGCTTCGGCTGCACCTAAACAACTTTTTTATATAAAATAATGCTTTATTAAAATCTACTTTTTATTCAAGAAACTAACAAAATTTTCGTAATTTCTTATCTTTCAGCATTTATTAAATACCAGCGCCAAAAAAAACTAGAAAGCATTTAAACTGAATTTCAACACAATTTCTAGTACGACAATTTCTAGTATGAAAATCAGAAGTAAAACATAAATATTTTAATTAGTGGAGATAAGAAGCAAGCCAACAAAAGAGACACTCGTTCGAGTAGGAGTAAATTAAAATAATTTCTTAAACAAAAAAAAAATCAAAACAACGAAGGCTCAGTCAAAACACAGCAACACAAGAGTTTGACACGCTCAACGGTTGCCATCAGCAGCAGCAGCAGCTTTTTTTTTTAACCAAGCAGCGGAACAAACGGAAATCAACTAAAATATAGACAACAACAACA